AATGGAACAGCAAAAAGCTTAATTAGAGTATTACGGCAAAACTCACAGTTCAAAAAGGTGAGTGACGCTGTAAGTCAAAACTCATTAGATCAGGGTAATAATCGTTCAGGGACATAAAAATTGCAAAAAGAGTGATAGTGATGTATTTATTTATAGTGTACTGTATTCGATCCATAAATGGGACTAGCGGGGATATCCCTATAAATTATTTACATCCAAAGTAGAGAGAAAAAGTGGAGAAGAACAAGAACAAGTTAAAGGAAGGCAGTGAAAGAAAAGCCCTTATTTAAGCCAGCAGGGGAACGGGTCTTGAGTCTATAAATCCAATAGGATTCGCGCTGTCTCAATTTCTTATCCCAATCGCCCTTCCGTTGAGTTTGTGGGATATGTTCTATCCCTATAAACTTTAATTTGTTGGCGGAGTTCAAATGATGAATTCTCAGATGGCGTGAAATTGGAGTTTCCAAGGGTCTTTTAACCGAATTAACGTGTTCCCTAATCCTTAATTTAAAGGATCTAAAGGTTTTTCCCACGTATTTGATGCCACATGAACAGGTAAGTAAGTAAATGACACCCTCCGTCCTACAGTTAAAAAACGAGCGGACCAGAAAAGTTTCTCTATTATTGCTGTCCGTGAATTCATTGATCAGATTTCTGATCAATGAATTCACATGCATTGCAGTGTCCGCACCTATATGTCCCCTTAGCACTGTGCCGAAATATGATTGTGATGTCCCGTAGCGTGTCGGTCCTATTTCTTTAAATTGAAGTGTGCATGTTGCCATAGTCTGCTTGTGTTATTTATACTGCAGTTGCTTTGTATCGTATTTGTGCATATATGAGCTATTATATGGATATGTTCATTAATAATTTGTGGTATCATGTATAATACCTATGAATTTGGGCTGTGTATGGGGGCTTCTTGTGGAACTGTGTGTGGATGGATATGTCACATTGTGTATTTGGTAGTGTGTGTAGCGGTTTGGGGTATTGCATGTGTGTTTATGTGCATGTATGTGCTTGTGTTTGTGCAGACTGTGCGTTTGTATTATTTGTATGAGGGAAGGGTTATTCTGCAGCTCTGTGTATATCTAGCAGTGTGGGAGGCTTTCCTGGGTTTTAGTGGGGACCAGGCACAGCTCAAGGACAGAAGCTGCAGGCTGCTCTATTACAGTGTGGATTTCCATTCACAAGTGCTGGGTGGAAGTGATCTGAGATCACTTCCTGTATGTGCTGCAATGTATAAATGGAGGATTGGCCTTCACCACCTTTTCATATTAGCAGATATCTTAAGTTTTACTGGGACTTCTAACAGGCCAGAGGCTGTTTGGCTCTTGTAGCCTTGAGTGCCGTAGGTTGCCTACCCTTGCTCTAGTAGATCAGTTAGGGAGCTACATAAATCTTATGCAGAGGGAAATCAGTCTCTCCTATAAAGACCTGGGAGTCAAAAAGACTGCTAAAATTGTGTGGGAACAAAAAAAAAAAGGGTATTTTGCAAGCTTTTATTTATTTTTTGTAAAACTACTGGGGTCAGCTTAGCTGCCCAGTAACATAGAAAGGGTACTCTGTTAGTCTCCAATGTGGAGTAGGTGTTTATTTTGGTTTCATGTTTTGCAGTGGCTCAATTGGGGCCTGCTTGCTAAATAAAGCTTCCCTCATATTGTTAGAAAGAACTGTTTGTTGTTTATGACCCGAGACCCGGCCAGCCTGCTACAAGTGGGATGTTTGTGTACTGAAAACCTTACCAGTACAGACCCTGAGGGAATATAAAGCCATATAGCGAAAGTGTTATTGCTGCAATGGAGGACGTATTAAAAGACTTATTACAAGCTACTGCTGTGCAGCAGGAAACCAATCAAGCCCTGCAAGAAAGCAACCGCTTGCTGGCAGCACAGCTTACTGCAGTGCTAGAGGGACAACATGCTGACCATTGTATACTTAAAGAGATAATACACAGTGTCTTAAAACATGACAAAGAAGAGCCCAGCGGTGTTTCAAAGTCTCTTCAGGCAAACCAGTATATCCAAAAGATGACACCCCATGATGTGGAAGCTTACCTCCTTGCTCTTGAGAGGACTGCAGCCAGGGAACAGTGGCCCAGGGGAAAATGGGCTGGTATCCTTGCACCCTTCCTTCAGCGCGGAGGGGGAAGGGGGGAGAAAGAGGCTGCCGAAGGCTAGGACTGTCTTAAGGCTGAGATTCTAGCCAGAATTGGTGTGACACTATTTGTAGCAGGCTGGCCAGTTCTTGGGTCATAAACAACAGAAACAGTTTTCTTCCACTATGAGGGAAGCTTTATTTAGCAAGCAGGCCCCAATTGAGCCACAGCAAAACATGAAACCAAAATAAACACCTACTCCACACTGGAGCCTAACAGAGTACCCTGTCTATGCTACTGGGCAGCTAAGCTGATCCCAGTAGATTAAAAAAAATAAAAATAAAAGCTTGCAAAATACCTTTTTGTTCCCACACAGTTTCCCCAATCTTTTTGACTCACAGTCTCTGTCTCCACCCCAGCTCTTCACATGAGAGACTGATTTCCCTCTGCATAGGGTTTATGTAGCTCCCTAATTGATGTACTAGAGCAACCTGATTTTTAACCCCCTCTAGTCAGGGAAAATGGAAAGTGCCATTCTGGGACTAATATAGCCTTGTTCCCTCACACTGCCAGATAGCACAAAGACAAATTATTTTGAAGCATTACAGAAACAGTGGAAATAAATGCAAAAATATGTAAAGGTGGAGATACAAAACTAGCAGAAACATGATAGCAAGTGCAACAATTTTTACATGTGAAACATACTGTAACAAAATATTATCTCATTTACAACTTGATTCTTAAAATCCAAACTGAATAACAAGCAGAGGTGCTGGTTAAGCTGGGCATGTCATGTCACTGTGTATGCTGGTTTGCATTAGTCAGGGCTACAGCAACATAATTTAATTGGGTTAGGAGTACACAGCTAAAATGAAGATAAGCACAATCTGCATGGGTGCAAGTAAGGAGTAACCATCCCCCAGCAGTTACAAATACAACCATTGCACTGCCATTTTTGGACTATTTTCAGGCATTTTATGTGACTTTGTGACCTACTCATGTCACCGAAAGTGTATTTTAGAACAAGACCAGGTAGCAATTCACAAAAGGATTTTCCACTGTACAGCAAATCAATTAATTTTGACAATCTTGTTTTTATTGAAGTGTTTTACGTATTCAATACAAACTATAGAAGGAATGCATAGGTAGATAAGTAAAATAGAGGAGCATCAATCATTGTTACATTAACAGTGTTAGTTCCCCAAACATTTTGAACAAAAGTAATAATATATTCCAGAAACACGGATGGTACAATCACTCTCTGCTGAACCATAATGAATTAAATAACCCTGTGCATTCTGTTGTTTTACAATGTGTTTACATCGATGTCTAAGTCTACAATAGGGTAAGGCCAGTTAAACAATAATTCTTTATTCAATAAAGATGATGTGATGTCCTCAAATAGAGGGTTACTCCAACCGCCAATTACCACTACTGCTTTTTGAAATGGTCATGGTAGTAGGAGTTTTTTTTTAATTGTGTTCTAGGCTGCCTGATGTAAATTCCGTGCACATTTTACATGCAAGGGAGAAGCTCTTGTCTCCCCTTCCTCACACACAGAGGAAAGCCCTCCCTCCTCTCAATCTCATCCAATGTTTTTAAAAAAAAAAAAAATACACAGCACTCCCTCCTCCTCCATTTGCTCCATCCTTTTCCCTTCCCTTGCGGGTTCAGAGAAAGCACACACGCTCTGACCCTGTTAATCCTCAAACCTTTGATTGGACATTAGTGCGGCTACCATGACGTCACATGGGTATTTGCAGAGCAGCACCAGGGATCTTCGCCCAATGTTGCACTGCGGTAAGTAAATCTTTTAAAACATTCTTTGAGAGTTTATTATGGGGGGCACATATAGAATAATGCCAATAGAGCATTATTTTATTTCATACAAAAAAAGGGTTAGAGAAACCCTTTAAACTGCAGTGTGTGTAACTTAATCACAATTACCATACATATACAATCCAAGGAATCATTAGCAGATACATCTACATACAATATTACATTTAAGAAGTGATGATAGACAAAACAAGCACCCAAGGGTTCAGCTGCAAAGCCTTTATCAAGTTTGCATTAGCTCCAGTAAACATCATGTTTAGCCCACAAATCAAGTAAAAATGGCAGTAAACCCTCCCACAAAACCTTCGAAGGATCCCGCCTGTTGCCTAGTTACCCAAACTCATGGATTGATAAAACACCGCAATTGTGGTGAATACCGATCCCACCTGCGCATGTGAGACCCACTTGGCATATCACCTTGTGTTTCAAATTGTATTAACTAAACCGGGGCTCTAGTTATGTTACCCGTGCATGCGCAGCCTGTGCCTAACATGGGACTATTCTGAGACATATTAGAGGACTTTGTGACCTACTCATGTAACCGAGTAATTTAAACCAAGGACACTGGATCCTATTTACACAGAGTGATTTCTAAACACATTTATTGTAGTTTCAAGACACATTACTGGGCGTATTAATACTGTGATGCTCTGTTATAACCATCAGACACACCTATATAGAGCACATATTTAACAGGAAGATTAAAATAGCTAACATTACAGTACAAAAACTATAAAAAGGACATTAAAATCTGCACAGGACATAGATATTGTGGAAATATTTCATAAAGAGTAGGCTGTGATAATAACAATGAAGACAAATTATAAACTCTTGGCCACAACAGCTGAGATTCTACAGGCCAGATCCATGATGGTCAGTGTATAAAACGTGGAGTATCGCGAATAAACAAAGACATTTTAGTAAATAAAGCCCTCGGGCAGGGTGCACGCACGCGCGCACACGCACACACAGCGCACACCTGGGCCCCAATCAGACACCTTAAATGGCAGCACCACCTATCGGAGAGTGCAGAGCGGTGCACGGGGGCGGGGCAGCGCGATGTGGGCGGAGTCTGGTGCTGGGGCGCGCTCCGGCAGTACACCCAGCGGAGGTTTCACAGGGCAGGGGGGCGCGCGCGGGCCGGAGGTACACGGAGCAGAGGGCTCGCGCAGTGTGACGGCGGATCTCAGTGCTGGCCTCGCTCTAGCTCGCCGCACGCACCCACTGCCGCCGGAGAGCGGAGCGCGTCTCTACTACTACTACTACTACTACTACTACCACCTGCAGGCTGAGCAGGACAGCTTGCCTTTCACACACACAGGACTCCCCGCTGGCCGTGCCCCGCTCCCACATCCCTCCATGCTGACCGTGAAGAAGATAGAGAGCGGCGGGGGGGCTGAAAATGGCACCGAGCCCCTACCCCCGGCCTCCTCCTCGTCTTCCTCATCATCATCATCTTCCTCCTCATCCTCCGGGATCATGGCCTCGCCGGACACCGGGGCCGCCCTGGAGAGGACCCCACGGAAGAAAGAGAGGGCTTCCCCGGGGGCCGAGCACGGGCCGTCCACAGGGCCGAGCATCATGGCGGGGGCGGATGGGGGGCAACCGGAGACCCCCGAGGGCCGGAGGACCAGCAGGAGAAAGAGAGCCAAGGTAACTAGCACGGGCACCCCGGGGGAGGGAGGGAGGGGGGAGAGAGAGGATTGCTGTATACTAAGAATTGTATTATTGCTGTATACTATAATCTGCACACGATGCTTTGTAGCATTGACTGCTTTCTGTATACTCTGTGCAGTGCACACAGCCTGGCTATAGAGGGGGCCACACGCCTGCTGTGTACATATCGCTGAGCACGTAGCCTCTATACAAAGGATGTACGTGCTGTATACTCGGTGCAGTGCCCATGATAATCCTGTACAGACTCGCATGCTGTATATACACAGTGCTGTGTACACTGAGCGTTCCATGCCTGCGGATTCCTATATCCCAGCATGTGAACCTCCAATAAAAAAAGGCTTTTTAATGCCTGTGCTATAACCAGTGCTGTGCCAACATGGGGATTACCAAATATGAAATTCCTCATGCATTTTGTGTTGGCGAGTATACATAGGATTACAAGCTTTTTTTATTTTTTATTAGTGTATATGTCGCTTTGTCTGAAGTATAACCAGGGCTGTGCAAATCAGAGACGTGTACACTGTACAATACCCAGCCGTGTGTATTCAGCATAGTTTATCCCAATCTGTATACTGTTCATTTAGAGTACTGTGATTGCAGTATAAGATTAAACATTGTGTTGTGTTCCTATGCAATCCTAACTGGAAACTGATCATTGTACTGTGATCAAAAATATTTAGTATATTTGTGTCTATGTAGTACACATTTTATTTCCTTTTCATTCATTGTATGGCTGTGGACAGCACTGAACATATTGGTGATTAAACATTCATTTTTAGAATATATATTATTTTTTTTCCTTGTGCACGTCTTGCATGTGTGTAGTGCCACCTTTTGTGTATAGGGATAGATTCAGTAACATGCTCAGTACTTGGTATTCTAACTGCATACCAACCTGTGTGAGCTTTTTGGTTTTCCTTCTAAAGCACTACTTCTATATTGAAGTGTTTGTATTGCTTGTTATAATTTGTATCTGTGCTATGTTGTGTATTTTGAGACTAAACCTCTCCTATATATGTCCTGTATAGTTGATCTCCGGTGGTCAACTTTTAGTTGACTTTTTTTTTTTTTTTTTAATTCTTGATGGGGGATCTGTTATCCCACACTGTGATGCTTATGGGTTTTTTTGTTTTGTTTTAATAGTGACAGACTGAACTAGTTGCACTAAGTCCTGTTGTGTTAAATGGAAACACTGGTATTATTGTAGCATGGATAATTGGCTGCTGATTGCCTGTACCCCATATCTAGTGTCAGAAACAACCTTAGTCTTGATACATTTCCTCAATGAAACATCTTGGGCCATGTCCATTGTCCCTAAATAATTTTTATTTTATACTAACTTTTGTGAAATACCAGCAGTATGGCAAGCTGAACTGGTCTACAAAACAACTTTTTTTTTTTTTTTCAGTGGGTGAGTTGTGTTTTGAGTACACACTGGAAGTTGGTGTGCACTAAAAGTAATGCCATCTACTCACAGCACTGATAGTTTTCTTTTGCCCAAACTTCATCTTCTGGTAAACTTCTTTTTGCCTTTTTCTTTGTCCATTCTACCAATGTTTGCAAACCCCCATGACACAGGCGCCATAATAATCATAATCATTAATAATACAAGATAAATCCTATACTCTCTCTAAAGATCAGTCTTATAAGCACTGGTAACTTGGGCCTTGCACAGCAGAAATGTTTTTTTTTTTTTTTTATATTCTATTATGGACCATCTGCTGCTGCTGTTCCAGCAAACAAAGAGACTATTACATTGAGGCCAAATTCTAACAAAAGCCTGTGCAGACTGAATTGGACTAGGCATGGCATGATCTTCGAATGTTCATGTAAGATGTGTTGCTGGTGGAAATGGCAGTGCTAAACAATACTAAAATGTTCTCTACTTCGAATACCTACAACAATAAGATATAGGAACCAGTATTTTAGATAACAAATTCCCTGCAACATGGCTTATGCTCTCTCACATGTTTAATAGAATATGGTGATGGTTTTAATTAAAGGGATTTGTGTTTTTGTTTTTTTTACTTTAAATGTGACTATTATGAATACACCTGATGTATATATTTTTATTCTTTTTGACAAGGGTGTGTGTTTTGTAATTCCCTTTTTTTTTTTATAAATAATTGTGTTTAACCAACGTATTTAGTGTCCCTTGTGCGCGGTTTAATAAATCATGCTGTAGCTGGCAGACCCCTCTCACACCTGGGTATGATGTTCGTCAGGAGTGTCTCATTCTGATCAATGGGGAATGATTTAATTCTAGAATTCTCTCCATCATGGGTTTATGGGACAGATGCTCTATCCACTTGTTACATAAAATGATTGGAACTGTATTTAAAATTGATGGCAGCTATCCCTTTTATACAGCCTAGTTTGTTGTGGACCATGCATGCTCCTGGAAGAAGCAAACCTTCTCTAGTATGTGTAGTGTGTTATGCACAATATGGACTGGGTTCTGACCAGCAGTAATAGTGCTTATGGTGCTTTGACTCGCCTTGTAAAGGGACAGTCTAAACCCCAAAATAACCTAATGTTAAAATGATCTTGCCCTCTTGCAGAGGTGCAAATGAAAACATTGTTTCTAGAACTCTTCAGATTTTGCCATTTCCACACATCTTACGGCTGTGGAATAGTTACGTGGGGCTTCCAACAGAATGTTAAGTAAATCTTTTAGTAGGTCTGCAAAGCTTGCTGCTAAGTGTGCATTCATTACTTCTCATAGAGATGAACCACACTGGCAGATGGTGGCATTTGCTGTACATGCACTGTTTCCATGCTTATCTATGAGCAGCATATTATTGGACAAGTCTTGTTGCAGTGAGTCTATTGTGGCAAATCCACCGCCTTTAATCCCTTAAGGACCAAACTTCTGGAATAAAAGGGAATCATGACATGTCACACATGTCATGTGTCCTTAAGGGGTTAAACAGTATTGCCTTTTCCCACACAGTTAAGTTTTGTTGTGTAACTATTTGCAGAGTTTGAATGTGGCAGCAGTCAGTAGCCTACACCCATAGATAACTAGTATCTGGTTTTCTCTCGCCTACAAATCCCAAAAAGCCTGCCTGCACTTTGTATAGGCCGATTTTGTAGAATTGTGTGCCGCTTCAATCTGCTTTCTACTTATGAAAGTTGCTTGTATGTGCATTAATGTGTGATGGTATCTCTCAAAACCAAATGGAACCATCAGTAAAGCTAATACCAGCCAAGTGAAGCTGATATAACCCCAGGCAACAATGCTTTAATGTGTCCTTGCACTGCGTGGTTGTGTTGTGTTGTTTTTTTTTTGTTTTTGTTTTTTTTTTTGGATTCTGAATTTGCTGTATTACTTACCCTTTCAGTGCCAGGGCATCATTCAAAATATAGAAGCCCTTTGAGACCTGGACACTTTGAGCAATTTAAAAAAAATGTTTTTTAATATTTATTGGAAGAAGAAAAAAAAAACCTGAAACAATCCCAAAATAAACTGTTATACCATGTAGCCGTTCGATACATACCTGGATTTATTGTGCCAAACAAAGGGAGACTGTACACAAATGCTTAGAGTTCCATTTCGTTATGTGAAATGTGTCCAAGAAAACATGACAGATTAACAATCATTGACCACAGTTTGTCAGATATGGCAATGCTTTCTCTATACATGTGAATTTTCAGTGCCCATCTCTGTGATATCGACACTTAAAAATGTGTACCATGTAATCTAACTGTATTATGCAGATTTGAAGCAAAACTAGCAAGGTGGTGGGGTGGGTGTTTATCTCGTATGAAAAGGCTTTGGCAGAATTACTTAAATGTTTTGTATGGTTGTCCATTACTTCCTGGTTTCCTGCTCTTTCACTGACATTTCCTGCAGACTTCATCATACATGGCACTTTCACACTCCGGCTCCACACCCGTAGTACTTAACACCGTACTTGCACACCCCAATATATTTATCTATGTCAGGAAAATATCCAACGTAAAGCCACATTTTCAGAGAACAGAGAATGGGAAACCATATTTTGTATAACTAGAAACTAAAGTACAGTGATACTATTGTGGGCTGTATACTGATAGCTATTTGCTTCTGCTTATTAAGATCTAAAATTAGGAGTTACACATTTTATGTGACAGTAAAACCACCTCTGTCATATATGCTGAAGTTATTCACCATGTCCAGCTTCCTATATATCTTAGATTCTCATGAAGCCTGGTGTTAATGGGGTAGGAAACAGAAGTGGCTTCTAGGAGACTTTGAGATGGTCTAATCTAATATCTGCATCTGTGCATAATGTTTTAAAGGAACATTCTTAAAAGAAGGAGGCATGTATGTAATAAAAAAATGTTAACATCGTGTAGTATAGGAAGACTGTACTCCTGTAAAGTCATCAAGCTTGTTGACTTTTGGCCGATGAAATGTTTCCCACCAAAAAGCATTTTGGACATGCGAGACAATTGCAGATATTCACCAGACAAAAGCCTTGAATCCATACCTTGCATGCTGACGTACAGATGTTAAATGAAATCTGTCTTAATCAGAACACTCTTTGGGGTTCTGAGTGCCCTTAAGGATTACAATAAGAAAAGTGTGCCGGCACTGGTGTTCTGTGTGGGTCATTTCTTTAAAAAAAATCCATGGCAGGTTCTATTAAGATAAAGTGACCTTGAGCTCGGACGGTCTATTTAAAGATGGGATCTTAAACTATTTACCTGAGGTCCATTGGCCACAACATCTTCTCACTGCTTGACCCCTCACAGAGATCCAAGTAGCGACATACGCACATTGGCTAGTGCACACTAGACCCTCTGAGTCTTGTTACGATAAAGTGCTCTTGGCCGTGCTACCTTAGCTTGAAGGCGGACAGTAGCTCAATTCCTAGACTGTATGGTTTGACACCAGACAATCTGTTAACGTCATAGCTAGCAGCATCCCTCTCATGACAAGGGTTACAAGAAGGCTGTTAGTGGTCCACACATGGCAGTTAGGTTGGTAGTTTGAGACCCCCCGCATTAAATGGACACTACAGGAGTCGATCATAGCTCTTCAACTTTATGGTTAACTGCATGTCTTGCAGACTTATTTTGGAAAAAGTAAAAGTGCCTATTTCAAGAGAAATATTCCTTTTTTTTTTTTAAATCATTTAAACTGGGTTTTGCATTGCATGTGAAAGTTAGTTCAGCTATATTGGTGGGAATGGCAAGATGTGGCAGTGGGAACTTTTGTTGAAAAAAAAAAGCAGAATGGAACTAAAGTATTTGAGGTAAAGTAGTCTCCAGTTCAGATCACAAAGTGGTTCCTGCTCAGATGAAACACATTATTTTGATGTGTTCTGAGCAGGGACTACTTTGTATGTCTTGTCGAATATACCTATTCTATAATTAAGTACTGCAAATAATGTTGGCGCTATATAAATCCTGTGAGACCTGCAGTTGTGATATCGACACTTAAAAATGTATATACTTGCATGATTTCACACTGCCCAGATGGACATTGTTAAATAAATGTGCATAATGCACTTTGGAAATACATTTTAGAATCCTTACTGAACTTAAACTCATTAACACTTTTTAAAGTGTAATTTCTGAAATGTATCTAAGAATTGTCTTGGCATAATTGGTGCCTTTTACATTTGGCTAGTTTGGTTTTCATGATGTGTTCTATAGCCACCGCTCCCTCCCAAATCCACTTACCTCTTTTTGACATTCTAATAAGGCTGTTTGGTTAAGACATTATTAAGCATATATTTTAATGTAAGGTTTTGTTTATTCCATTGTTTTTGAACAATGTTAATTTTGACTGTATTTGTTTAATTATATCTAACACAAACTGCCAAAATTGGCATTCAGTGTGGTGCCGGTTATTAACGTTGCTCTAAAGTGGAACACACATAAAAAAGCAAAACCTTACATTTAAATGTATTTGTTTTAATAATAATTTTTCTAATAATTTGAAGGTTTTGTCTGGCATTACTTTGGAACCATGTTAATAACGCAACACATTTGATGTTAATTTTGCTGAAGTTGTGCAATGGAGTTCAACAACCGAACATTAGATGCTGCTTGGGGCAATCTTCGCTAAGCCACTATCTAAAGTGGGCAAAATGTCCTCTTTATCTGGGTGGGAGACTAATTCTACACGTGAAGTGTGTGTGTTTTCGGAAAACTGCCAATTTTTACATTCTTAAATCTCACTAGTGTTTGGTTGCGTACAGCGCAGTAAATGTGACAGTGCTTATTGGTAAGAGAGAACAAGGAACTGCCTCTTCCCAGAGAAGTAGCCATTCCTCTTTAAGTGGTGCATATGAGAATTTTTGTCAAACCTTTGGAGTAACTGCATCTCAATTTTAGAGAACAATAGTCTATATGGTAATGATGCTCCCTATTGTCTCTTCCTGGTGTGGGAGTGGTCTGCCTGTAGCTGCAGACACGCTCTTTAAACAGTGCATCCAACAGATCTTTGAGGTGAAAATTAGTTTTGTGTATGTGAAAACATAATTCTATATTGTAACAGCAAAAATACAAGCGAATGCATAGAGTAAAACATAATCCTCTGAAGACTGTGTGTGCCATTTTTATAGTGTCCTGGACTGTGGGGACTGCCAACAAAGTGTACTGATGGTTACATTTACTACATGTAACTGACAGTTTTATCTCTCATTGTATATTGTTACACAACAGCACTCTATATAAATTGTTGGGGTGGGGCAAACTAGACATGCAATGTGTAATACCAATGCTATTCAGATATTTAGAAAGGATGCATCTTTAAAGGGGGGATGGAGTGTTTGTGATGTTGTTTTTGTTTGTTTTTTCACTTTCTCATTCTAAAGGTTTCCAAATTTCAGGTGGAATATCGGGAAATGGATGAAAGTCTTGCAAATCTTTCTGAAGACGAATATTACTCAGAAGAAGAGCGAAATGCAAAAGCAGAGCGAGAGAAAAAAGTGCCACCACCTCCTCCACAAGCCGTCCCTGAGGAAGAGATTGACAGTGAGCCGGAAGAGCCCTCTGGTGGGTTACCTGCCTTAAACCTGCTTTTAAAAAAAAATTTAATGTAACTGTTGCATACTAATGATTATATCATTTTTAATTATTAATATAACTTATGTAGTTTTTTTTTTTTTTTTATTCCACCCTCTACTAGGTGTTGAGGGTGCCGCTTTCCAGAGCAGACTTCCCCATGATAGAATGACTTCCCAAGAAGCAGCTTGCTTTCCAGACATTATCAGTGGCCCCCAGCCAACCCAGAAGGTTTTCCTTTACATCCGAAACCGCACTGTAAGTACAATAGCTTTTCATTCTGTCTGTACAACATGCATTAAATGCCCAATCTATACTGTATCTCCTATTAAAGGACAACTCTCATTTCAACACTTTAATCATTCTTTCATCAAGTTTTGAGGAAACCGATTCTGCGTTAAATTAAGTTTATTTAAGGAAATGAGAAATGCTCATCCCTACTTTAGTATATAGTATTTTAGTATCTAGTTTAGTAAAGTAAAACCTCTATATAGTCTCTATTGTCTCACTGCTTCACTCCCTTCACAGTGCACTGACATTATCAGATCAACTAACTGTTGATTCAAACACTGTTTGACCCAAGGTGCATGCACATGGCTGAAAGATCCTGTCATTTACTAAAGGTAGGGATGAGTCCCCACATATATTTCATTTAACTAAGAATCCATTTCAGATTTTGATAAATGAATCATTATATTAAAATTAATAAATACATTATTTTAAATAGTTCTATGTGTGCTAGGAGGCTATGGATGTAATCTCTCTATTTTGTCAAATTGTGCTAGTGCTTTGCTAGAAAGAGAGGTTCCCCAGTGCAGCTTCATTATTCATTCAAGTGTCTTTGGGGTCCTTCTAAAAGGTTTGGCTAACTTGTGCCATCGCAGAGAGCGAATCATATCCAGTCCATATCACACTGATCCCACCCACCTGTTCAGTCCAGATCTGAAATCCTGGCCAGTTGGCTCTGCTGAAGTGGTACAGCAATCGTTTCAACCTACAATGTGGCGTCTGGAGCTCACAGTGCCTAGATGCCAATCATCTACACGACTGATGAAGCTTAAAGTAGGCCAAAACAATTGTATGGGGTTGCTGGATCTCTAATGAAAGCCTACCAGCCTTTCGTATATGGATTGCCCTTGTTGGTGGGATTTGTCTCATATGCCAAAGGCTAAAGAACTCTCTTTAATGGCACATGTGCACGAATGCCTCATTTGAGACCTGAGCTGGCACTAAATGAAGGACAAGTAATTTATTTTATTTTTTTTAACAACAAATGTATATTTTTCTTAATAGTTGCAGTTGTGGTTGGATAACCCAAAAGTTCAGTTGACATTTGAGGCAACGCTTCAGCAATTAGAAGCTCCTTATAATAGTAAGTGATGTATTTTGCATTTTCTCTCTCACTAGCTCATATGGGATTTATTTATAAAATATTTTACCAGAGAGGATACATTGAGATGTTGCACATTTCTAATTGAGGTAAAAAAAGAAACCTAGAGTAACAGCTAAAGGCACACTATAGGCACCCACACCACTTCATGTCATTGAAGTGGTCTGAGTGCAGTGTCCCATGTACCTTAACCCTGCAGTGTAAAACATTGCATTCTTGGAGGAACTGCAATGTTAACATTTTAGTGTTCAGACTGCCTCTTGTGGCTGTCTATCATGAAACGATGTCCTCACACTTTGCAGGAGGACGTACAGCGTCTTGCAAGTCCCCATAAGAAAGCGGTTCTGTATGGGAAAACTTGTCCAAAATTCCTCCTGAGAGTTGAGCAGGTCTACTCCGCTGCTTCTGGATTAAATAGCTAGTTGATCATCCAAGTGTTCACTTGCTTTTTCAAAGTTTCTTGGGATATGTTCAAAAAAGATTACAATTGTACAATTCTAATTTCTGTTGGGTCTATACTGGTGACTTTGACAATTAAATTACATTTTATGACCAATTAATTAGGAAAATTATTATTAAAGGGCCACTATAGGCACCCAGACCACTTCAGCTTAAGCCAGGTCCATCTAGGGTTAATACTGCCTCTAATGGCTGTCTCACTGACAGCCGCTAGAGGCGCTTCCGTGCTTCTCACTGTGATTTTCACAGTGAGAAGACGCCAGCATCCATAGGAAAGCATTGAGAATGCTTTCCTATGGACGGATTGACTGAGCACGCGTCACTTGCCGCGCATGCGCATTCAGCCAATAACGTCGGAAAAGAAGGCGTCCCCGGCGCTGGAGAAAGGTAAGTGTTTAACCCCTTCCTCTCCCTAGAGCCCGGCGGGAGTGGGACCCTGAGGGTGGGGGGAACCTATTAACACTATAGTGCCAGGAAAAAGTTTGTTTTCCTGGCACTATAGTGGTCCTTAAAAAAAACAAAAAAAAAACAGTTTGTGAGTGTAATGAAAGTGTTTTTGGTTTTACTTATAGACCTTCCTTTTTGTAGGTGATTCTGTGCTGGTTCACAGAATACATTGCTACCTTGAACGGCACGGTTTAATAAACTTTGGAGTCTACAAAAGGTTGAAACCCTTACCAAGTAAGTTTAGAATCTTGTGTGTGTGTGGTTATAATGTGTATATATCTTTAATTATAAATGAACATGGTAAGATGCTTGCATTGTTCGAAAAAAAACAAATAGCTAATATGTGCAATTGTTTACATTATTTATTTTTAGCCAAGAAAACTGGGAAAGTGATAATTATTGGTTCTGGGGTGTCTGGTTTGGCTGCTGCCCGACAGCTACAAAGTTTTGGCATGGATGTTACCCTCTTGGAGGCCAGAGTAAGTTAATTTTAAATTTAATGTATTTTTAATCTATATAGTAGGTTAGTGTACAAATGTACTCCCACACAGACTGTATATATTTTCTCTTTTTAAGGTCTGTCTGTTTTTGTTTAAAATAGGATCGTGTGGGGGGAAGAGTTGCTACTTTCCGTAAAGGAAATTATGTGGCAGATTTAGGCGCTATGGTGGTTACTGGACTTGGTAAGTACAATATGCATATTTTGAATTAATATTCTTGAAACAAAGCCTTTTGCAGCATTGTATGATATTGCCATTTCAAATAATGAGTGATCCTCTTTTGTTGCTGTCAGTAACTCTGAACTTGTAGCAGGAAGTGTTTGTTTTTTCGTTTTTGTGTGGTGTTTTTTGTTTTTTTGCAATAAACAGTGTGTGTTAACTAAACTTTGATTTTGCCATCTGTTTTAAGGAATTTAGACCAAGCCCTGAATGCATATACATATCAATTTTATAAAAGTCTAAGCAAGTAGAGAATAGCTGCCCTTTGATAAGCATTTGCAAGTACAAAAGAATACTTTGTAATACAAGTTAACTGAACAGATCCATCCAACTTGATATAGAAAATGGCTACATATGCTACATTGTATAGGAGCAACCAATCTGCTGGGAACACAATAGTCAGTCCGTGAAGACAAAAAAATATTGGCACATAATTCCACCTGATTTAAAATCACCTAAAGAATAATGTGCTAAAATCTCTATTGACAGAATAGAATTGATCTAATCCTTGTTAAAACGAAGGGGCAATTTTGTTCTCCGTTCAAGATACAAAATACCTTCCGTTTACTACACTACTGTACTCTAATAACAGAGCAAGAGACAAGACTAAACACTGTGCAAAAAGGAAGTTTAAAATTGGGTATCTGTTTGACGGAAGTATGTACAGAGGCTGTGCAAGTCACAGCCAGGAAAGGGTGTGGCTACAGCTGCATACACAGTGTTTTAACTCTAAAGTTGCTCATAATTGAGCAGTGAGCCTGCAGTGGGTATACCACAAAATCAGTCTTTTTGATCAATTACGCAAAGTCTAGGTAAAACTTTAATTTTGCTTTTTGTTTTATTGCATGTTTGGTTTAGCCTTCCCCCCTCCCCCCCTTTAAAATGAGTTGTGTTAAAGTAGCTTGGTCACCTCCAACTTGCCTTTCTCCTGTTCTTTCCTCTTTCAGAAACTTTTTTTTCTTTTCTTCATTTCTGTTCGATTTCTCTATTAAAAATAAAGACAAAGTAGGGGCTACTTTGTTTTATGTATTTTTCCTACATGTGGCAATCTTGACAAAAGTTGCAGCTTTGGGAAGCTATACTTTTCTTTGTCAGTCTAACAAAGGGTGCAGCTCCACCTTTTGCCAAGATTGCCAAGTGTAGGAAAAATCCATAAGACAAAACAGTTCCTACTTTGTCTAATGTTTTAAAGAGAACTCGATCAGAAAAAAACAGGTTCTAAAAGAGGAGAGTAAACAATAGTAGACCGGTAAGTTTAAGGTGACCAATCCACTTTAAAGATCAAGAATGATTCCAAATTTTACTGATAAAATGTTTCTAATTTTGTATTTAGGTGGTAATCCAATGGCTGTAATAAGTAAACAAGTGAATATGGAGCTTGCGAAAATTAAACAAAAATGCCCACTTTATGAAGCTAATGGACAAGCTGTAAGTTTATATTAAGACAAGCTTATCTGATAGTGTTTTCACTTCACTGGGACTTCTAATGAACCTTTGAGCTTCTAAAAAGCCCACCGTGTGTAACACAAAATTCGAAATCTTGTGTTTAGATCATTATACTGTGGATAGAATAAGGAATGGAGTCAATACGGATATATAATATTTGAAACCTAGTTTTGAGTTAAAGGTAAATCCATTAATTACAGCACTAGAAATCACCCATGACTTGACTTTTTTCTTTTACATTTTGCAAATTACCTAACAGTTTAGTTCGGATGTAGTCGATACACACAAGTGAAGAGAAGAAACAAACTTGGAAGTTATGTGTAATTGTTGCATTTGCTTTTACATTTTTGCCACTTTTTTGGTTATTCCTTTTTCAGACTCCTTTTGTTAAAGGACCACTCTAGGCACCCAGACCACTTCAGCTTAATGAAGTGGTCTGGGTGCCAGGTACCTCTAGGATTAACCCTTTTTTTTTTTTTTCTAAACCTAGCAGTTTCAGAGAAACTGTTATGTTTATACTGAGGGTTAATCCAGCCTCCAGAGCCTCTAGTGGCTGTCTCATTGACAGCCGTTAGAGGCGCTTGCGTGCTTCTCACTGTGAAAATCACAGTGAGAGCACACAAGCGTCCATAGGAAAGCATTGTAAATGCTTTCCTATGCGACCGGCTGAATGCGCGCGCGGCTCCTGCCGCGCATGCGCATTCATCCAATGACGTCGCGAGCAATGAGGAGAGGAGGAGTACAGCTCCCCGCCCGGCGCTGGAGAAAGGTAAGTTTTTAACCCCTTCCTCTCTCCAGAGCCCGGCGGGAGGGTGTCCTGAGGGTGGGGGCACCCTCAGGGCACTATAGTGCCAGGAAAACGAGTATGTTTTCCTGGCACTATAGTGGTCCTTTAACTCTGCTATTGATTCATAAATAAAAAATAAAGTTACTAGGGAAAAATACACATTTCCAATCTGAAAGTAATTTTTTAACAAATAGGAAACTAATGAAAAAGGCACACTATTGCACTTAATAAAAAAAATAAAAATCCTGAAATGTAACAATTACCTTCAACTCTTTCTCATCAGGCTGTGCTGATTTAGCGGATTTTAGCCCCCACTTGCTTTTCAATTTTTAATCAGTCTAATTGCATCTTGGATAGGTTCTCTGAAGTCTCCATTTAATGTGTTCCTATATTTTACAACGATGTTTGTGGGTCTTTCCGTCTCTTGTGTCCCAATTGCTACCACTTTTTTTCACGATGGCAGGGGGCTTAAATTTTATATTTCTGTTCAATTTGGAGTTTCAGGTGCCGAAAGAGAAGGACGAGATGGTTGAACAAGAGTTCAACAGACTTTTGGAAGCTACGTCCTACCTCAGTCATCAATTAGATTTCAATATCCTTAATAATAAACCTGTGTCGCTTGGACAGGCTTTGGAGGTTGTTATACAGTAAGTGTCTTATTTTTGCATTTTGTCATTATTTCTCTGGAAATTTGCATTCATGTGGGAATTTAAAGTTCCATTACTATATTGATAAAGCGTGTACAAGAAAGGAAATGGCAGTGGGTTTTTTTTTTTAATGCAATTCTTTATATTAAAAAAGCATTGTATCAGGAATGTTTAGGAAAGTAATTAAAATGGAGAAAAATAATCCATACCTTTCAGTATATGACCACATCATTCAGCCACATACATACACCTTGGGTCAGTTAGTTGGTCTGATGTCACGAACTGTGGAGGGAATGAAACCAGAAAGACTATATAGAGGTTTTCAAACACTGTCTGACCCAAGGTTCATGCATATCGCTAAAGGATCATGTCTCATTTCTTTACATATACTTCATTTAACAATTAATCTTTCCTCACAAAACGTGATGAAAGGTTCATTATATTAAAAAGATATTGTTGGAATTGAGCAGGACGGTGAGAGCAATGGTAGCATCCCACTATCTGCCTACTGCTCCACTCCCACAATACCCTATATTGCCAGTGCCACAACTTATCCTACCAAACCTCCCAAAACACATTCTCATTTTCCTTCATGAGCCTAACCTAGCCACTTTTACCCCCAGCTCCCATAATGCTGCCCTTTCCACTTTCAACAACCACTTTCCTGCCCATTCCATGCCTCCCGAACTCACACGATCCACTACTCTAAGACACTGCACTACTCGCACTATCTCAATCACCTTTCTTACCACTGTATATTCCTCCTTGTGTGTTGCCCCCATTATCCATCTACACCACTAAACACGTTTGACATTGCCAAGGATACAAGAAATGCACCCCTTCAAGCAAACAATGCCTGTGATTTGTTAAACCGGTAATTGTAGAAGAATATACCAGGGAATATGTATATGGCCGTTTATTTTTTGTTCTTACGATCTCCATTAATTAAAAACAAAAAAGTTGAAAAAAAATCTTTTTTTTTTTTTAGGCTGCAGGAAAAACACGTGAAAGACGAACAAATTGAACACTGGAAAAAAATTGTGAAAACTCAGGAAGAATTGAAAGAGTTGTTGAATAAGGTATGGTCCTACATGTTGATTACACAGATCAGGGACTTAATGGGAGGGGGAGAGCTTGGCTTGATCACCATTTATACCTGATGATTTTATAAGCCTACTTTGGAAGCTGTTTAATGGAGCATTCTCACTCCATAACAACCTTGTATCAACTAGTAAATAAGTGTACTATTTCATACAGTGGATTGCCACTGATAGGCTGAGAACATCCCCTAAGGCAAACGCAGGGCCAGAGCAAGTACGCCTGCCACCATAGGCACAGATCCATTGTGCTGCCCACTCGTGAGTTTCATTGTGCCAAATGTTTATTCCCTAAACTCCAAAAGGAAACATTTTTAAATGTTCCTGAGGTTATTGAAATACATTTTTAAATAAAAATGAATGTTGGTGAATGCAGTCTTTCTATTTTTACACTTAACAGATGGTTAACCTGAAGGAGAAGATAAAAGAACTGCATCAGCAGTACAAGGAGGCGTCTGAGGTGAAACCACCAAGAGACATAACTGCTGAGTTTTTGGTTAAAAGCAAACACCGGGACCTGACTACCCTTTGTAAGGTATGAGCACAATATGTGAAGGAGCACGGCTATATCTTGGCTTTCTGTACTGCACATTGGTAATTTACAGGGTTTTTTTTTCGTTTGTCTTTTAGGAGTATGATCAGTTGTCAGAGATTCAGGTAAAGCTGGAGGAGAAATTGCAAGAACTTGAAGCCAACCCGCCAAGGTAATTTGTAATTTAGCATATATACTGTCATATGTAGGATTTGTTATTTTACATGTGTAGTTCCTGTCTCTGCCCCCTGATATTGGTTTCATAATAATGTCCTAATATTACAAAGCAAATATTAAGAGCATATTTGTGTGAGCCCATTGTAAATTTTACACTGACTGCTACACTGGAGTCCTATGTTAAAGGAGTGTTCTTATATTTGTGGGGGAAAACTCCAGAATTACAACTTAAGTACTGACACTCATGTAGACACTCTATTAAATGTACAAACTTGTAATGCTGTTGCCTTAATAACATATTTTTTTATTTTTTTTTTATTTAAATATACAGTGATGTGTACTTATCCTCGAGGGACAGACAAATTCTAGATTGGCATTTTGCAAACTTGGAATTTGCTAATGCAACACCATTATCTACTCTGTCTTTAAAGCACTGGGACCAGGTAATTATATTTACATCTAATATTGACCTTTGCTCTATTAACTATGTTTAACCCCTTAAGGACCAAACTTCTGGAATAAAATGGAATCATGACATGTCACACATGTCATGTGTCCTTAAGGGGTTAAAGGACACTGCACTTTTAACAGCAAATGCCACACGGAGTACCTCCCTGACAGGCTCTTAGTCTGAGCTGCGGTTATAAGATCAGGGGACCAGTTGTAGTGATAGAATTGCATCAGAGTACTGAGCTGTGTATCACAGAAACACCCTGTTGAACTCTTAGTTTTTTGTAGGTTTGTTGCTTATACTTACCCTATATGCCCAGAATTTCAACTCTGGGGAAAATAGTGGGGCAATTGCCCTTCAAGTTTAGAATTTAACCAGATGGGGGGAAAAAATGGTTTGACATGAAACACTGCTTCTTTTGTGAATAACTTTTTTTTAAAGGAGTTGTGAACAATTTCCCCCCCCCACCTACAGGATGATGACTTTGAATTCACTGGTAGCCATTTAACAGTCCGTAATGGTTACTCCTGTGTGCCTGTTGCTCTTGCAGAAGGTTTAGACATCAAACTGAACACTGCTGTTCGTCAAGTGCGCTACACAGCTTCTGGTATGTCAATATTGTTTGCAGATATGATTTAGTGAATCTCTGTGGTCTTCCTGCTGTAACATGGTGACTTTTTTTTAATCTTAAAACAGGATGTTTCCCCACACTAGCAGTGGGAGTCTGAAATACCTCTAACAAGGTTCAGAAGGGGACGCATACTATTCGCTAAAATGTGATTTGTTTAAAATGGCAGAATGAAAAGTAAAATTTCAGCCTGAAATTGAGCAGTAAAATTACAGCTCACGGCTTGAGTTCCCCCTACTTATTGGTCCTAAAGTTTGAAATTCACTGACTTGGACTTTCCAACAAGTCATATTATGACCAACCCAGCTTGTGTACAGATAAACTTTATACATTTTTGTAATGAGCAGATGCTTTTGTGTATGTGACTGACACAAAGCTGTAAGTATTTAACAGTTACTTTAAAAGGTATGCTATAATTGCCACAGCTTGCAGTAGTGGTAATGGTGCTAGCATGTACTTAGTGTTTGTCGTCAGTTCTGTCAAGCCATTTTCTAGTAGTTTGCCACAGAGGGTCCCACGTGTCCAAATCCATTGCTTACTAAAACAAACATACCATTTTCACATTGGTAATGCCAATTTTGTTTGCAGTTGATGCAATAAGCCATGGGTTATTCAATCTTTTGGCACTTAAAATGTTGAGGGACCACATCTCCCATAATGCTGGTAGAGCATCAGATGAGATGTAGGCCACAACATATGGAGTGCCAAAGGTTTGCCTACCCCTGCACTAAGCCAATTAATGCATCCGAATGTGATTGGATTTGATATTGCTAAGTGCAGAAGTGTAACTTTGGCAATGGGAATATATCTTGCATGTGGGGCTTGGCCATGGGCTGCTGGGGAACCTTGAGTTTTTGTCATCGGTCTGACCCAAAACAGAGGACAGCACCAGGGACATGCCAAAACCATAACCACTGCCACTTAGAGTGCCAGTTTAAATTGATTTATTATGTTGGTGAAGTATCTTTTTTAAAGGCCTCACACATTGCACATTATTACTCAGTAGAAATTTTATATTCCAATTCTGTTCCTGCAGGTTGTGAAGTAATCGCTGTGAATACTCGCTCTACCAGTCAGACTTTCATTTATAAATGTGATGCTGTTCTCTGTACTCTCCCTCTGGGTGTACTAAAGCAACAGCCACCTGCTGTACAGTTTGTCCCTCCATTGCCAGAGTGGAAGACCTCTGCAGTTCAAAGAATGGGCTTTGGTAACTTAAACAAGGTAATGGTAGCTGCCGACTTACATGTTGATACATATATTTTTTTAATAAAATTACTTTTAAGATGCTAACAAACATCTTTTTTTCTTAGGTGGTACTTTGTTTTGACAGAGTATTTTGGGATCCAACCGTGAATCTCTTTGGGCATGTTGGTAGCACCACAGCTAGCAGAGGGGAGCTTTTCCTTTTTTGGAATCTCTATAAAGGTGTGTAAGATTTTTATTTTTACTGTCAGCATCCTCAAGCTACTGTGGCATTGCTGAGTGTGAATTCCACTTGATTTCTAGATTTTATGCCTGCTCCCCATTACTCTTTAATGGCAAGTGTAAGGATGTGATGCATTTTCCAAAATTAGTATTGTCTAGAAGACAAAGTTCCTGTAACTTTTGAATGCAATGGAATGTTGAAAACATTCTCTAGTCTGTATTTATTTGTATTAATGAGAAACCTCTTTGTGGAAGTTACAGTACAAGCTTAATGCAATAATGTGACTTATTTATTGTAAAAGACCACTATAGTGCCAGGAAAACATACTCGTTTTCCTGGCACTCTAGTGCCCTGAGGGTGCCCCCACCCTCAGGGACCGACTCCCGCCTGGCTCTGGAAGGGGGAAAGTAGTTAAAACTTACCTTTTTCCAGCGCTGGGCGGGGAGCTCTCTGCCTCCTCTCCTCCTCCGATCCACCCCGTCGGCTGAATGCGCACGCGCGGCAAGAGCAGCGCGCACATTCAGCCGGTCGCATAGGAAAGCATTCATAATGCTTTTCTATGGATGCTTGCGTGCTCTCACTGTGATTTTTCACAGTGAGAAGCACGCAAGCGCCTCTAGCGGCTGTCAATGAGACAGCCACTATAGGCTTTGGGGGAAGGCTTAACCCATTGATAAACATAGCAGTTTCTCTGAAACTGCTATGTTTATAAAACAATGGGTTAACCCTAGAAGGACCTGGCACCCAGACCACTTAATTAAGCTGAAGTGGTCTGGGTGCCTAGAGTGGTCCTTTAATGATTTCAAACCATTGGGAATTGTTATTGAAATAAGGAAGACATTGAATGTGTGGAATTAAAGAGAAGAAAACCATTAAAAAAAAAAAAAAGCGCCATAAAAGAGGGATTATTAGTATCTGTATTTCATTTTGCTGTGTTTGAAAGTTTGTGTCTTTTATTCTTTGTACCTCCTTGTGGCACGTGCATGGTCTGGTACAGCTGCCTGTAAGCTAAAAGGATGTTAAAAAGTGTGGATTTAGGAAATCCTGAAAAAAGGATCTGTAAGAGCTTAAAGGAACTCTCAAAGCGCCATAACCATTACAGTACACTGTAGTAATTATGGAGCCAGGAGTGCCCTGACACACCTTACTGTAAATAGTCAAACCATTTTAGAATGGGGTTCACTGGTGCCACTCTCTACTTTCACAAATACCGACAGTAAGAAATACCCAAAAAGGAGCTTCTTTTGGCCATCCTGAACAAGGCAATACAGAGCTAGCTCAGTGCCTGAGAGCATTGGCTCTTCCTTCTCAGTTACTGAGCACTGTCTGGCTTAGGTTAGAAAGCTTCCTGCTCTCTCATTTAATTGAGGCAGGTAGTAGCACCAGCAGACTCCAGGTAAGCGGTCAGATTTTTGTAAACCGTTGGAGTATGCTGCGGCACTCCTGGCACCATAACCACTGCTATATGCTGTACTGGTTATGGTGTTTTGATTGTTCCTATATGTTTTATTGTACTAAATGACATGGAAACAATGTGACACTTTTATGTCCTTGCAATTATTTTCTTAATAGCTCCAATACTTCTGGCCTTGGTAGCTGGAGAAGCTGCAGGGATCATGGAAAATATCAGCGATGACGTTATAGTTGGACGCTGCTTGGCCATCCTAAAAGGGATATTTGGCAGCGGTGCTGTTCCACAGGTATTTAACCAGTCACCTAATTTACCTTACCTGTGTTTATTTATAACTAAGTTTGTGTGTTACGGGCATGTTGCCAATTGGTTAATGGTAGATTAGTCTTTAATTGTATACAATATTACATATTGAACTGTGCATGCTTTTGCACAATACATGTTACTGAATTCATAAATGGAAACCAGATGTACCTAACTCGTTTTAACAGGCAGATCACGGTGTTTGTGTTTTTTTTTTTTTTGTTTTGTTTTTTATAAATCCCATACTACGTCATTGCAACTATTCCCCTTTATGAAGTGATAAGGCACGGATCACTTTTATGCAATCTAGGTACACTACTCTACGACAGAATTGGAACATACATCTCCCAGTCTGCCTGGAATTAGTGGGAGTTAACACTCCTGAGCAGCGACCACATTTGACTTAGCTCCCATTCTATTAATCTCAGAACTGGGACATGTATGAAAGGAAACACTATAACTATTAAAGTGGATCTCTCTCTTTTGGGGGACTTAGCATATTTTGAAAAGACCTTCAAAGTTTACCTCTCCACATGGGATCCAGCGGCCTCATGGAGTATTGAAAAGTAGATATGCTTCAGTTGTCCTTATTGCCACCAATTCGATGCTGATTGATTGCAGTATTTTTCTGTGCAATAGTCTCCCAATGCTTTCCTGTGGGAAAGCATTGGATTGGCTGAGATTATCAAATTTGATGATCCCAGCCAAGAAGGCGGAGCTAGCCACAAGACCAGTGTGGTGTGGAAAAAATGTGAGTAAAATAACTTTTTCTTAACTAGAGCCAACGGAGGTCAGGGACCTAAAATGTGTTTTCAGAACTACAGTGTTCCTTTACGTATAAAGCTACATTGCACAGACTTTTTTTGGGGGGGGGAGGGCACAACAATATGTGCATCAGAGCACTGTGATAGCTGCTTTGAGGTTCTAAATCAAAAGCTCCTGAAGAGCTGCTGTAGTCCAAGTTACGGAATAAGATAAGGAAACATGGGAGTGTAATTCAGTGTTTTTGTTTTGTTTTTTCATAGTTATGCAGATTGCCCTGTTTGTCTCTGGTCATTGTTTTCATGGTTCATTTCTTTCCTGTAGCCAAAAGAAACTGTTGTTAGTCGCTGGCGAGCTGACCCATGGGCCCGTGGATCTTATTCATATGTAGCAGCTGGATCTTCTGGGAATGATTATGACTTGATGGCTCAACCAATCACTCCAGGGCCTGCTATTCCTGGAGCACCACAGGTAATGGCAAAGAAGAGTTGCAACTTTATACTAACTAGGCAGTGTTACATGTAAAATAAATATATATATTATTTTTATGGACTCTTAATATTGTAGCTTAATCACTTGGTCAAATCATTTGAAGATAATCATTGGTTGTATTAATGCAAAGCACTAGAAAATAATTTGTTGGCTGAATCATGTTGCCAATGAATCTTATGTATCAAGCAAAGTGCTACAAATTTTTTTTTTTTTTTTTTAATTCTTAAAAATATGTAAACTTGAAATATTTTTTTTAAAAGTACAGCAATCACACAACCAAATGCTCCTGCTTATTGCTTGATTTTTAGAACTTTGCCCCAGAATTAGTGGACAGTTTTTGGTTTTATTTAAAAAAAAAAAAAAATTATATAGATTTTATTTATGCATTTATTTTTTCACTTCCTCCATTTAGCCAATTCCACGACTGTTCTTTGCTGGCGAACACACAATTCGAAACTATCCAGCTACTGTTCATGGAGCACTCCTGAGTGGATTGAGAGAAGCTGGTCGTATTGCGGACCAATTCCTTGGTGTAATCTATAACCTACCTCGCCAGGGTACCCCTGGGGTGCCGCCTGCTGCTACGTTGTAGTTTCTGTACTGTGGAATTACGATTTATGAATTTTCATTTGAAAATGCCATATTTGCTGTGCATTAAATATTCTGGCTGCTGGTCACCCTTACAAAAAAGCCCATGACAGACTTACCATCAAGAAGCATTAACTTTGTTTTATAGCAGACCATGGCACCCTCATGCAGTGGGACATTGTTTATTCACATTATTTGTTCTAGCACTAGCATCAAATTTTTTGCATCATGAATTTTGCCTCCAATGTTTCAAATAAACATTTTATCTTGGCATGAATTAATTGATTCCCCCACACCCACTTTTTTAATTACTGATATAGTTCAGTAGCTCAGTAATTAAATATTGGAGTATTGTGCAGTATACATTTTTATTTATTTTTTTCTTGCATTTTGTTTATTTGGTATAGGAGATTATTTCCTTTTTAGTTAAAATGCTGTATTTTTAATTCCCCTATAAACCAGTGTTAGATTCTGGATAATCCCATGCTCAATATTAACATGTCGTTGCCAAATAATTGCATTTTTTTTTTCCTCTTAAATGCAGAAACTTTTTTTTATTTAATTTTTTTTTTTTTTTTAGGTATTCTCCTTTTTTACATTTCCTAATCTGGCTAAAATACAATAGTTTTTTTTTATTTTTAAAACTAGGTATCTTTAGCTATGCTAAGTATAATATTGTCTTAAGAACTGTACAGGAGTAATTCACCACTGTAAAAGTGACTCTCCAGTGCAATATCCTGCCTTTTTTTTTTTGGTTTGTTTTCCTTCCCTCATAGGGCGAGGTGTAGATAATTTACATTCTTCTGTTTAAAGGGCCAGACCATGATGTAATACCGTTAAGTATACGGTGCTCCAGAAAAGCGGATTGGCAGAAAACACATTACAAGCAATTCCAAAGTATTTTTTAATAGGCAATGTTCTGGTACGTGGTAGGTGTTGATGGAATAGTGTTTTTGGTATTGGCAGTGCAACCTGGACACCACCAGAGGAACCACATTCTGGCCTGCATGCTTTGGATAACATGGACCAATTACATTTCCCTTTTCTGGTGGATGCCCCAGACATTTCTTGTCAAACTGTCATCATATTGTGATTAATGGATGTGGAGGTTCTTTGTGACTTATTTTTTATGGGCTAATAAAGTGTTCATTTTTATACAATGCTATATTCTATCCTGCATTGTTGTGAGTGTGGTTTTTGTTTTTGCAAAGTAAACTTTTGGTAGCTCTAAAGACAGACCTTCCAATATCTGATGCATTAAAACAAAAATAACTTAGACTTTTTCACAACAGTTTAGCACTTCAAAGTCTGTGAGAACACTTTCTATACTGCAAAATGTTTTAAACAGGTAAGTTGTTGTGACAATTTTAGCTATGACCATTTTAGCTTTTATTAATGTGAAAGTGTATCCTGGGCCTTAAAGGGACACTATAGTCACCAGAGCAACTACAGCTTATTGTAGTTGTTCTGGTGAGTATAATAGCTCCATTCAGGCATTTTCATGTAAACACTGTATTTTCAGAGAAATGGCAGTGTTTATATTGCCCCTAGGGACACCTCCAAGATGGCCACTGGAGGCACTTCCTGGCTCAGTGCTGCACAGAAGGCCGCTCTGCCATTCAGCGTCTCCACGCTCTGCATGGGGACGCTGAATTTTCCTCAGAGATTCATTGATTCAATGCATCTCTATAAGGAGGTGCTGATTGGCCAAAACAGTTTGGCCCCACCCCCTTGCCCAATTTTAGCCAGTCCAATGCATTCCCCATGGGATTCTCAAAAAAATAGGCAAGTCTGTCACCAATGGGGCGAGCGCCGGCGGACCTGCACGGCACTGGAAATAAGGTAAGTTTTTTTTATTAACTTTTAAGGGGGGCCAAGCAACCTAAATGGTGGGTTTTGCACTATAGGGTCAGGTATACATGTGTGTTCCTGACACTATAGTGTTCCTTTAAATGGTTTTTTTTTTTTTTTGGTTCAATTTAAATTATTTATCTATCATTAAAGGGACACTATAGTCACCCAGACCACTTCAGCTCAATGAAGTGGTCTGGGTGCCAGGTCCCTCAGGTTTTAACCCTGCAGATGCAAACATAGCAGTTTCAGAGAAATATTATGCCTCCATCATGCAGAGCGTCTATAGGAAAGCATTGGGAAATGCTTTCCTATGGACACTTTGAATGCGCGCGTGGCACTCTGGATCCATCGCATCTAGAGTACCCCACTGACGTCAACACAGACCCTCTATTCTGGATCTAAGAAGCACCAGCACTTTAAAACCAACTCGCTACATAGGAGGCTTGAATTAGCCACAACTTTTTATGCTGTGCAAGACTGAAACCAACAGAGAATATTGGTGAGATCTACCCATATATTATTAATACAGGACATATATTTGGTGTGTACACACTAGGACTGTAAATATTTTTAATTTTTTAAAATATATTTTTAATTTTTCATATTTCAACCAATTAATATAAGGTCTTCTCGCCAGGAAGAAATTTGGTCCTAATTGTATTGAGGACTCTCAGCTATACAGTGTGATTTAAGCAACAATTATAACTGATACTGTCTGACTGTATTGGGGCTTTGATTCATGTCTGGTGTTTTATTGAGATAAACACAAGAGTTATAGGGGCATGAGGTGTATATTACGAATTGTATATATCATAGTAGCTTAAGTCATTATTTGTTAAGATATGGCAATAGAATAAATAAGCATTTTTCTTAGTGTGTGTGTGTGTGTGTTTTTTTTTTTCTCTGAAGCCAACTTTGAGTGCAGTATCATAGGTTGATTTGTATATACACGCTTTGAGGTAGTTGGAGTGGGGCTACCTTCATATCCATCACCTATTTGGATGGAAGAGTGCCAGTACACATTTTTGATTTTAGTCCATTTTTTATTGCTGCTTCAGGTTTTGTGCTCAATAAGGAAGTCTGCACTGGCTAGGAATCCCGGTGGCTGCACTTCGATTTCCATGCTAGGTACCAGAACCGCAAGGGCCCAATTTAAATCATGTCAAACTAACTACAACTTACTATCATCATGGTATCGAACTCCATCTTTCCTCCATCGGATATTTCAAGGTGGAGCTGTGGCACAGGCAAAGGGATGATCGAACATATCTGGAGTTGTCCCAAAATGGTACCATTCTGGGAGATGGTAAAGGAAGTGTTAACCAATGTAGTCGGATGACAACCCGTGGATCAAGCATTATTACACCAGTCTCAATATAAAAAGTCCATCACTAGACACCTTCTCATTGCATTCCATGCTGATACCTGCCCTCTTGAAACAAGTAGAAACCTCTACCAGGGAGTAGTGGCTAGGGCGAGTGTAAGGCTGCAGAAGTGGTGCAGGTGGCATTACTGAACATTGGCGATCATGGTTCATGTACATGGCCGATGGTTTGAGGACTTGCGCTGCAACTGCTGCAAAAATGGCGCGTGCTGCCTAGAGGGTGGAAGGCATGATTTACAGATTGGAAGAACTATCTCCCCCTTATTTTATTTATTTTTAAATGCTGCCTAGAGGGTGGAAGGCATGATTTACAGATTGGAAGAACTATCTCCCCCTTATTTTATTTATTTTTAAACCCTTTCTCCCAACCTCATCCTAACTCTCTTGGAGGGGTATCTACTCCGAAAGTATCCCTCTTCATTCTTATGGAGATCGTAACAAACTAGGGAAATCCTGGATCACATCTGCGTGTGTGAGAGGAGACGTGGAAAAACTACTGATAGAACACTCATCAGTCGGAGGTTCATAACTCAGAATGGAACAGCTATAAATGTTGAGATGGTGCATAGTCTGTATCACGGTTTAAAGGATGCAATCACTGCTGTTCCTATACTGTCCGGGGAATGCCCTCAACATAATTTGTAAATATGGTTGCTGTGGAATAGGCCAATAAGCCCACACTGAAATACTATCAAATTTATTTGAGTGTTACACACCTGGACACCTTTCAGTTGCCACCCACAAGATATCTCTCATAACTTGTTTGCAAACTAAATTGTTTATACCAATGGTTTCAGCATATGCTTATATTGTTTGATTTATCATTGCTCCATATTTCAGGGCCTGTGTGCCCCTTTCTCTTTTCTATTATATCTCTGGGGAAAAAATGAAAAACCATAAAAAAATAAATTAAAAAAAAAAAGTATAAATGTTTTACTGTATCATGTTATGTTATTATGTACAAACAAAATATGAATGTTTCCCCCCCTTGATGACACATTTCGCTAGCCAGTCAGCTGTATATATATCATACGACATATACAATCAAGCTCACTCGTTCAGTCTCACAGATTGTAATAGTTTTATTTGAAAACACCTCACCTAGACAAAAAATAATGGGGGTTTAGTTACAGTATATGATCGTACATTCTTGGCAGATCCTACTCTAGCAGCTTAATGTCTGCTCTTATGAGATTAATCCACGTACTTTGGAAATTCTTTCTCCTGATGCTCTTTGCAGGTCAAGGTTAAATAGGGCCCTTGAAAGAAGCACCTGTGACACGGAAGGGTGCAAAACCAAGGAGTTGGCCTGGACTCCCAAATTTATAAATTAAATCAAGAGGGCTGCACTCACCTGAACATGCATAAATGGGGTGCTGCTGGGGCCACTTTATACAATACACAAGATCCAGCGCACTCACTTATCCACAAAACAACAACTTTAAAGCTCACAGGTTTTATTATTTATTTTGTATTTATTTTTAAACACCTAAACTAGGCAAAAATAATGTGGGTTTAGTTACAGTATATGATCATACAAGGCATAAGCCTGCCACCATGTCACTGTACCCCATTTTGGCAGGTCCTACTCTATCAGCCTAATGTCTGTTCTTATGAGATTAACCCCTTAACGCTGTTACGGCGTTCTATGCCGTCCCCATTTAAATGGGCTTTAAAGCCGTTGCGGCAGCATAGAACGCCGTAACGGCTGCAGTGCCCGGGATACTTACCTCCCTGCGCTCCGCTTCGGGAGGACTGCAAAAGAATGTGGATCTGCCAGCAGGGGAACTGTCTAAAATGTCAGACAGTCCCCCTGCTGGTGGGAGCTGTAAAAAAAAATATTAAACGTGTAAAATCAAAATAGAAATGTATTTATATAATATATATATATATATATATAATATAATATAAAAAGCAGAAACCTTGGCACTCACCCTTAAATGTACAAAGAAATAATCTATCCTTGCCTGGGTGCAATCCTCAACGTTTGATATATAACAAAAATGTATACAAGGAGCACTCACAGGTCTTTATCAAAATTCTGATTTCCTGGCCATTCATGGCAGCATCACTAATGGGTTAGCTACGCCCCTAACAGGAACAGGACAGGAAACAATTAATCAATTATAACCAGACTGTAGGTATAAAAGGTCCCTCCTCCCTCCTACCCACAGTCTTGTTTTCTGTCCTTAGCAAGACAAACAGGAATTTTCCTATAGAAAAATTTTCTTTTTTGAGGCCACCTTCCCATGTGTACCATGGGTTCTTACCAGATAAAGTTCAGCCTCTCTTTATCTGAAGAACTCAGTAAACAGCCTGCAAAAGCAGGACTAACTGAGTTAAGGTACATTTTAGTATATGTACCTAATTCTGGAAATCAGGGCTGTTCTTAAATAATTGAAATGATGTGGGGTCGGTGAATGCTTAAAAATTCCCCTTTAAGCATCAATAACCCCCTCAGAGATTTTGGCAGAAAGAAGCTGGGTAAGTGACTAAAATTATTGAACTTACCTAAATATATGCAAAGGAATTGGATGAGTTGGGTATAAAGAGTATAACGTTTTGTTTTGGCTTGGTATTGCATGAGGAGGCTTGCACAGTGCTCTGCTTGCCTGTTTGCACTGACCGAATGATACTTCCGGGTTCGGAAGGCAGGGCGTGCGCAGTAGCATTGGCGTTGTAAAATTCCTATTGCGCATGCGCGAACCGCCGGTCTCTTAAAGCGATATCGCGCCAAAATTTTAAAAAACGGGAATTCAATATAAAACGCTCTGGTGAAGGTTTTGAAGTCTCTGACTGAAGTTGACAAGTGTTGGTGGTGTTAAAAGGCTGCTCTAAATAAGAATTCTGGATAAAAAAGGTAATTTATAAAAAAAAAATTTTAGTGACATTTTAGTATTTAGCTACAGTTGAATGTTTAGGATAACAAAAATATTTTTTTGTTTAGATGGCTTCTCACTCTGCCTCAAGATCTGTGTCTAGAAAACATAGGTGAGCCTCACATACGTTATCTTTTAAAAAAAGGGGGGTAAAAGAGTGCTTTCACTATGGGCCAAAAATGAAATATTGTTAAAATGGCCTTTTTTACAGCCCGAGTAATCCAAAAGAGGAATCACCAAGGAAGCATAAGGAGAAAACAAATAGGTGTATTAACTGTAATCAGATTGCACCCAATGGGAAAAACTTATGTCAAGATTGGCTGACAGAAGCCGCTGAAGGTAGAAAGTCTCCACAAACAGAACTGAAAAAATGGATAACAGAAGCAATTGCAGAAGGGTTTAAATCCACACACAAGATGTCCTCATCTAAACACTTGAGAAGGGAAGAAATCTCATCTGAATCAAGTGATAGTATGGAGATGGAGGATATGTCGGACGAAGAAGAAGGTGAAGTCAACTATGCCTCCAGAAATCTGGATTCAAAATCTGTGGATAAATTGATCAACATAATACGAGAGACCCTTAGATTCCCAGAAGAAGAATCTGCAATAAAGGAATCTGATAGATATTTTGAGGATCTGAGAGCTAATAGACCTACCTTTCTGGTACACTCTACTATAAAAGAGATAATTTCTCAAGAATGGCAGAAACCTGAGAGAAAAGCAACACTGAAGAACAAAGCATTCAGATTATACCCATATGCCAAAGAAGATTGCAAAACCTGGAATACCGTACCCAAAGTTGATGCCGCAGTGATACACATGGCAAAGAAGACAGCCCTGCCTATTGACTCCATGGCTTACTTGAGAGAACCTATGGAGAAAAGGCTAGATGCTAGCCTGATAAAGTCATATCTGGCGTTAGGATCTGCATTACATCCAGCAGTAGCATTAACAACGCTATCAAGAGCATTCAAAGTATGGCTGGAGAACTTAGAAGAAGATATCGCCAAAGGTGTTAGGAGAGATCATCTTCTGGAAGGAATGAGAGATTTAAAATTGGCAACTGAGTTTTGTTCTGAAGCATCCCTGGATGTTACGAGAATGGTGGAAAAAAGCATGGGCCTGTCTATAGCAGCAAGAAGAGCACTATGGCTGCACTCCTGGGGAGCAGACTACGCCTCTAAAGCATCCTTGTGTGCTCTTCCATTTCAAGGTGATCTCCTATTTGGAAAGGTCTTGGATGAAGCAATCCATAAAGCAGCAGATGGGAGAAAAGCCTTTCTTCCGCAGGTCAGAAAATATGGTTCGACTGCATGGAAAGATAGAAGATACAAAGCCTTTCGTGAAAGTAGGGCATATAAACCTGGGAAAGAGTTTTTCAGATCCAATTGGAAAAACACTCAGCAAAAATCTTCCAGAGGAAGAGAAAATAAGCCAGGGAAAAACTTCTGAACGTGTGCCGGCCCAGCCAGGAATTACAGGGGGAAGACTACATCTCTTTTATCCTGTCTGGGTCAGAAGCGTAACAGACGCCTGGGTCCTATCAATATTGGCCGAAGGATACAGGTTAGAATTCGAGGCCATTTCAACAAAGGATGTGTTTACTCAGTCTCGGGTAGCCAAAGGAGAAAAAGAGACAGCTATGAGGGACTGCATCTCGAAACTAGTAAAAGAACAGGTAATAGAATACGTCCCAGTAAAAGAACAAAGAAAGGGTCACTATTCTACGGTTTTTCTAGCTCCAAAACCTCAGAAGAAGTGGAGACTGATTCTGGACTTGAAAAAATTGAATTCGAAACTAAAGAGAAAAACATTCAAGATGGAATCCATTTCAACTATTGTACCAAACATCAGTATGGGGGATTGGATGACGTCTATCGATTTAAAAGATGCATATCACCAGATTCCAATCAATATATGGCACAGGAAATTCCTCAGATTTTGTGTATTTGGAAGACACTACCAATTCAAAGGACTTCCATTTGGACTAAGCCTGGCTCCGAGAACATTTTCAAAGGTACTCATAACATTGGTAGCTGTAATCAGAAAGAAAGGAATAGAGATATACCATTACTTGGACGATTTTCTGATTATAGGTCCATCCAGACAGAAGGTAGCTCTCCACACTCAGTGGGCCATAGAGATCCTTGTGAACCATGGTTGGA